GCTACTGACACCCTGGAAATGCTTCTTGAGGCTTCTGGAGAATATTCTTTAAGCTGGACAGCGGTTTTTGAATGGCATTCACATTTCAAGTCCAGTCGAGTATCATTTGAAGATGACGAACATTCAGGGTAACCAAGCACCAGCAAACAACAGAAAATGTTGAAAAAATTGGAGAACTCATCCACAAGGACTGTCATTGAACAATCCATGAGCTCACAGACACCATTGGGATCAATTACAGAGTTTGACAGGAGATCTTAGCAGAAAATTTGAACATGCACTTGGAACAGTGTCTGACATCCAAAGGGAATTGCAGGTGGTACTCGACAGCATTAAGGAAAATGACTTCATGGTGCTTTTGAAGTGTGGAAAAGACAATGGGATCACTGTTTATGTTCCAAAGGAGACTGTTTTGAAGGAGATGGGAACCAAAATTGAGTAAGTTAAGCCAGCATTTCTTTTCTGACCTAGTCCGGGAACTTTCTGATACAACCTCGTAATATACTACAGACTTTTGTTACTGTTACTTTAATGAGAATTTAGAAATTTAATAGAATTCTTTGTTCAGGGCAATTATGAAGCATTTGTTCGAACTCGCTTGGAACTGCTGGAGAATCAGATGAAGCAGTACAACTGGGAACAGGATCAGATTTCTCATATGAAGGTACAGTTGCAGTTGTAACATGATATAAAGTGATGGTTGAACACTTGAAGTAATGAAGTATGGAAGTATAAGCTAAATAGTCATGCAACACCTGCTAAATCAATACCCATTTCAGATATTGAAATTTGTATTAAATCATTACCCATCTCAGAAGCAGAAAGTGAAATTCTTATGTAGTCACTGAACTTTTTAGAAACATGTATGTATGCCACATATTTGAAAGAATGTTTTGTTTCTAATGCTTCTCATTATTATTTCACCAACTTACCTGACCTCTGTCTGACATCTATTTATGATATGGCAGAACATATTTTAAAAGATACACTTCAGTAATTACATTTTGGATTACACTTAACAGAAATGCGTAGGATATGGAATCATTTAATATTCAATGATTTAATCTTTACCATGTCATATAGAATATATTCCACACTTGGGGGTTTCAGTTGTTTGTAATTTGTGACATGTGACTGCTGCCTTCATCCCTGTCTTTCTCATATATATTCCAGTCTGCCCTTCATTTACATTCTTCATATTTTAGTTCAGCGTGAGTGAAAATGAATGGCATAAATGACTTTTTCACTTTACTGAAGTGGTATATGAAATTGTGACTGAAAAAATGATGGAACTGAATGATGAAATTGGTGTGAGATCTTATGTTAGCATTGAAGTGATGTCATGATTATTTCAGAACTACATTGCACGGTTTGGTCACGGATCAGCAAAGCTTGCCCGACAAGCTCAGAGTAAGGAAAAAACACTTGCCAAAATGGTGGCACAGGGTCTGACTGAGAAAGTGACCAGTGATAAGACGGTTCACTTCTATTTCCCATCATGTGGCAGCATTCCTCCACCCGTCATTATGGTACAGGTATGGCGCACACTAATTATGGTGGTTCAGGATAATCATTAATGCAAAAGACATAGAACTGAATGGAATACTATGAGTATAGTGTTTCATGGGTTGCTATCAGGCTGTCGTATAGAAATTGCAGTGTATTGAACTGTTTAGTTTGGATCCTTCTGCAGAAAACAGGATGGTGTAATTTTCTGAAAATGTGTCTTATGTTTGTAGAATGTTAGTTTCCGGTACTCAGACTCAACTCCTTGGATATACAAGAATCTGGAATTTGGTATTGACCTGGACACAAGGCTGGCCCTGGTAGGTCCCAACGGAGCAGGCAAGAGTACACTGCTGAAGCTGCTGTGTGGAGAATTGATTCCTACAGAGGGCATGATCCGGAAGAACTCCCATCTGCGGTTTGCTCGCTATCACCAGCATCTTCACGAGCTTCTGGACTTGGATCAATCACCCCTTGAATACATGATGCAGTCGTTCCCAGAGGTGAAAGAAAAGGAGGAGATGAGGAAGATCATTGGGCGATATGGACTTACTGGCCGACAACAGGTAACATTAAGTTATAATACATTAGTTTACCTTAGAACCATAATGGTTATCAAAGAAATAACATGGTCTCAATATAAGATTTTAGGTTTTTATGGTGGTGGGTATTCAAATCATGGTTTTCCTGAGGTATGGTGCCATGTAGTTAGGCACAAACATTTGAGAACAATCTGCTATCTCATCATCAGGCTATTACCCTGAAGATGTTGGTACCTATCTGCTAGACTACAGCATCACATCCCAGAAGAACTTGATCCAGTTTTGATCATCATGTTTATGTCTCTTTGGCTACAGATGTGTAGAATAAAAGTGAGAAAATAGGCTTCTCCTAGTTACTTATTTCTTTCTTCTTCTCCTATGGCGCAACAGCCCGATGTCGGGCCTTGGCCTCCCTTATCAAGCCCCTCCATTCCTCTCTGCCATGTGCTGCTCTCTTCCGGTTCCTTACACCCATTCACTTCTTCACATCTTCCACCGCTTAAATCCATCTAGTTCTTGGTTTCCCAGCATGTTCCTACCGCCTGTTGTACTATATAAAATTTTCTTTGGGTTACGCTCCTTATCCATTCTCTGTACATGCCCAGCCCATTGCAATCTTTTAAGCTTTATCGTCACAGATCTCTGGCTCCTCGTATAATTTGTATAACTCTTTATTATATCTTATTCTCCATATCCCATTCAATTATTTCTTTAGCAGTATAAATACATGTAACATTTCCAGTTGATAACGTGTAGTGCTTAACAATGTGCTTAGGTGTGTCCAATCAGACAGCTAAGCGATGGTCAGCGTTGTCGTGTTGTGTTTGCATACCTGGCCTGGCAGGCGCCCCACCTTTTACTACTAGATGAGCCTACCAATCATTTGGACATGGAGACCATTGATGCGCTGGCTGATGCTATCAATGACTTTGAGGGTGGCATGGTACTTGTCAGCCATGACTTCAGGCTTATCAGTCAGGTATTGTTCATTAATATTTTATTTCCTAACAAAGTTCCAAAATTGTGGTACACCCTGTTTGCTTCACATTCATAAAATGTTCATATCTTAAAAAAAGGCCTCAGTATAATTGTTTGCATAGTGTATGCAGTGTTAATGCTTTGAAATTCAGATATAATTTATGATGAATCATTGTCTTAACTACAGTAACGTAACTAGGTAAATAAGATTGCTCGTAGAGGGACAAAATCATCAGTAGCACAAGGGCTGCATAACACTGATGAGAAGTAGTTGCAGTATAATTATGTTTGTGGTGAAATTTGACTGTTGAGGACATAAGTAAGTAGAACATACTATTGGTTTAAGAAATACATCCCCCTCCCTGGCAATACAGCCCCAGTGGACCTAGGCCTACCTCCATGAACTTCTCTGTTCATTTCAGATTTTCTAGATCTTACACATTCGGTAGGACTCCTTGGGCGGGTGATCAGCTCGTCGCAAGGCCTCTACCTGTATACAAACACAGAAAAACGCACATACACAAACTAAACATCCAAGAAATCCATATTATGTTCACATAATTATAAGATGGCCTGTAGAAATCACATATTTAAAGAAGTGAAATAAAGAAAAATAAAGTTATAACTGTATGCATGCTATAAGTTAACTTCCCATCCATAGATAAGGTACTAACCTCACATACCAAGGATATTGGATTTTAAATGGCTGACTCCAGTGCAGATGTGCCTAATATCATTTGTCAGAACTCTACACCAAACAGAATAGTTTTGTGAATGTGATGATAATCAGTTCTGGCCTTGATAGGTAAATTTCTTGTGTAAGCTGGAAATATGTTCATATATTTTCCAGGTTGCTGAGGAGATATGGGTATGTGAGAATGGAACGGTGACCAAGTGGCAGGGCGACATTCAAACATACAAGGAACATCTCAAGGAGAAGATTGTCAAAGACAAAGCATCCAGCAAGAAGCAATTTAAATAATCTTCTAGGTTCACTTAATAAATATGAAATAGGGAGGTAAAATGATCACGGTATTTAAAGCATGGCATGAGAACTATAAAATTATGAGTTGAAAGGATGTGATATTTATGTGTTTACATAGACATTTGGTACCACTGAGTTCCTAACCATGAGTAGACACACAGAAAGTACCATTTTTGGGCTGAGGTGGTAGAAGTGTTAACATCAACTTGAAACCAACAAAGGAACCTGCGTTCTGTACAGTATTGTACCGACGTCATTAAAAGTCTTGCTGCTACAAGCTGCTGCTGCTAAAATATTTGTGTGTGTGAGCTCTAGGCTGTATCCTTAGGTAGGTCACACACCGGCATGTGTCAAGACACGATGTCTGTGACATGACACAAAGAAAGGGGCACAGTTGAAACGAATGAGATTATGAAAACCACCGCACACCGGTCTGAGTCATGATGCTTATGTCAGCTTCATGCTGACGAATCAAATGAAGAAAGACTGCATATTTTGTCTCATGTCTTGGTGCAGCTGGTGTGCGGCCCCCTAAGAATAATTAAAGCTAAAGTTATTTCTTTTTTTTACAGAAGTTCAAAAAATTTTAAAGAATATTAGGAATTGGAGGGGTGCTGGAAGCACAGTATTTTCAGGCATCAGATTTTTAGACAGTGCTCAGCTTGGTTATTTGAAAATGTGTGTGTGTATCAGAGCTTTTGATGATGGAAGTTTGATTTCATTAAACATTCTTGTAGTTATGGTATAGCCAACTTATTCAGTAAATTTTTTTAAGTGTATGTCATAAGATGGATATGTCAAGGTGGTTAGTGCTTCTAGTAAGCAGGAGTATTCTTTGGAAGAATTAGTGAGGTATGGTAACAGATGTTAGAGCACTTACCAATATAAAGAGCACATAAAGCTGTAAGAGGGCAAGGGTCAATTGAGGATGGTTGCACATATGTAAGATAAAATTGCAGTTTGTTAGGAGTTAAGTTGCTCACACATCACTAGCAGACTTACATACCAGAATCCACTGTTTATCGAAGCCACATTTTTGCTTTAAAACTCCAAAATATCACCAAAATGTATTGACCTACCCTGCCAGATTACTTCATTTCACTGCACAGGATGAAAGGCATATGTGTGCACATAGCAGTATGGATACTCTCTTCAGTCCATTTTGTCACAGTACTGTTTCTTTTCTTTATTGGTCCCTTACTCTTTCAACAGCCCTGACATGTGACTACAAACAATTTGTTGTAGGAGAGTTCTTTTCTCTGTGGTTCCTTACTTTCTGAACAGAAATGATGTGTGACTACAAACATTAATTTGTTGTAGGACATTAATTCCGAACAGGGTGCTGAGGAGAATAATTTGGACCAAAGAGAGATGAAGTGACAAGAGGTTGGAGAAAACTGCATAATGAGGAGCTTCATAACTTGTACTCTTCTCCAAGTATAATAAGAATGATCAAGTTAAGGAGGATGAGGTGTGCAGGTCATGTAGCACGAATGGGGAGACGAGGAATGCGTATAGGATATTGGTGGGAAAGCCAGAAGGAAAGAGACCACAGGGAAGACCAAGGCGTAGGCCGGTGGACAATATTAAAATGGATCTTGGAGAGATAGGGTGGGATGGTATGGATTGGATAGATCTGGCTCAGGATAGGGACCAGTGGAGGGCTCTTGTGAACACGGTGATGAACCTTCGGGTTCCATAAAATGCTGGGAAATTCTTGAATAGCTGCAGAATTGGCAGCTCCTCCAGAAGGGCTCAGCTTCATGAGTAAGTAAGTAAGTAAGGACATTAATTCCATATATTCACTTGAAATTGTTTATTGTCAAAGTTCATTTTATTCCTGAATTAATACATATTGTCGCGTGTTGGCTATACAGTCAACTCTCGATTATCTGGGGGCGGATTAACCGGTTTGCGGCTTAACCGGGGCTTTTTTTTTTAAGTTTATATGTTGTTTAATATTCATTCACTTTTGTTTCACATGGTGAGTTGTAACACTATTTTCGCACTAGTGTGAACCGAGCTCTGCATTATTTCGTCCCGTTATGCGAACACAATGTTCTAGGGTGGGGGTGAAAGAATGCAAGAATTTTTGGAAAGTTTCAAGGACAAATACACCGCCCCAGGTTATTTAACGGTACCATCTCAGTGTGAGAGTGCATTGTGAAAGTAAGTATCAGTTTCTTAATATAGATCTTCAAGTGCGTTAGCAAAATGTCGGGGTTTAAAAGGAA